CCCTGTGCTGTACAGTAGGACCTTGTTGTTTATCTATTTGATATATAGTAGTTTGTATCTGCTAATCCCAAACTCCTAATTTATCCCTCCCCTCCTTTCTCCTTTGGTAACCATAAGTTTTTCTATGTTTGTGAGTCTGTTTCTGTTTTGTAAACAAGTTCATTTGTGTCATTTTCTTAGATGCCACATATAAGTGATGTTATGTGATATTTTTCTTTCTCTTTCTGACTTATCTCACTTAGAATGATGATCTCCAGGTCCACTTGTGTTGCTGCAAATGGCATTATTTCATTCTTTTCTATGGCTGAGTGGCATTCCAGTGTGTGTGTGTGTATGTATGTGTATATATATATATATATATAGTGTGTGTGTGTGTGTGTGTGTATGTATGTATATATATATATATACATATATATATATATATATGTATATATATATATATCTCACATCTTCTTTATCCAGTCATCTGCTGATGGACATTTAGGTCACTTCCATGTCTTGGCTATAATAAATAGTGCTGCTATGAACATTGGGTGCGTGTATCTTTTTGAATTAAGAGTTTCCTCTAGATATATACCCAGGAGTGGGGTTGCTGGATCATAGGGTAACTCTAATTTTAGTTTTTTGAGGGATCTCCATACTGTCTTCCATAATGGCTGCACCAAACTACATTCCCAGCAGCAGTGTAGGAGGGTCGGTGTTGCCCTTTGGACCTCAGCCTCTTCATTGTGCTCCAGTGTCTGCTTCCATCTCCCAGGCAACATACTCATACCATACTCCTTGTCTCAGCACAGTTTCTGGGGGATCCAAGTGAGATGTCACCCGCAGCGTCACCTCCCACTCTCCAGCCCCTCCACTCACCGCCCTTTTAAGCTCTTAAGGTTGGGCTCTTGGTGCCATGTCTGTACAGTACAAGCTTGTCCTGTCTTCCTGACCACCTGCTGGACCTGCTGGACCTGCTGGACCAGGGAGCGAGACCAGCTGGGCCAGTCAGAGTCCCTTCCCCAGAAGACTGGAGTTTGGTTGGGATGGATGTTGGGGGAGGGGGTGGAGAAGAGAGGAGACATTGCTCTTCTGGGGGGGGGCACAAAGATGCACATACTCTTGGGAGCTGTGACACCTTTTGCTGTGTATTCTTGTTCTGGGGAGACAGCTCAGCCAGTCTGCAGAGAGCAGAGGATGCTGGTGTGCAAAGGGAGGCGTAGGTGAGGGACATGGAGACCCCCAGTTAACAGCTGTACGTTAGGGTTCATGGCCGTCCTGGGGCGGGCAGAAAATGGGGGCATTCGGGTCTCGAGTAGAGGGCCTGAGCTTTGCACATCCCAGGGGAGTTGTGCTCAAGTGGATGAGGAGAAATGTAAAGGCGCCTGCTTACAGTGCTGCTTGTTAGAGGGCAGAAATCAGTGTACGTCAGTCTGGCCCTGGCACTCTGCCAAAGGATTTTATTTCCTGAATCACCAAAACCATTTCCCTTTGCAGGATGCCCCATGGCCCCGACCTGCAGCGCAGAATCGCACACAGGGAGGCCCCAAGGCCACAGCCCTCCTGGCCATGTGTGCCGGTGCAGACTGCGCCCTGTCAGGGGCTTCCTGGCCCAGCTGCAGACCAGCCCTGACTGCCCTGGGCTAGCCGTCCCCCCTTAGCAGCAGCCTTGAGGGGCTGCCTCGTCCGCACATGTCCAGCGCCTGGCTGATGGGGCCTAGAGTCATGTCCCAAGGCTGCACATGTAGTGCAAGGGCCACAGCCATCCAGAGTGGAGGCCGGATCCCTAGGGACCCTGGGAGAAGACAGGGTGCACTGGTGCCACGCTCGGTGGTGTGTGCTTTTGGAATTTCCATCTTACATTCTCCGGAGCATGCACTGTCTGATCTCTTGGCACACTGCACCCCGGTAATCCGAGTCTCTGCAGGGCTTGGTAGCTGCAGCCGCTAAGCCGGGGCCACTCTGTTTTTTCTCACCAGTTACCATGTCCCAGCTCTTCTTCAATGTCAAAATGTTTTCCCATGAACGCCAGGGGTAGCACTTCCCCGCCCGCCGTATTGGCCCAAGCAGCCAGAAGCCCGGTTTCCAGGAAAGCAGCCACTCGATCCAACCTGGTGAAACCCACTCCCCAGCGCAGCCACTGACGTGGCATTTACACTCTTACAGCAGAGGGTTTTCTTAGCTGCGGCCACATGACATCACTGCCAGTTGGCCAGCCTTCCTCCACCTCCCCCCGACAGCCTCACCCCTGCCCTTCTCCTCCCGATGTCCAGGCTGGTAGTTCGCGGAGTGGTGGGGATGTTTCGAGCCTTAGGGGGGTGGTGGTGGTGGTGAATTCCCTTTGTTTCTGAAAATATCCCAGGCCCTGGCTGCTCTAATCTCTTCTCTGGGCAGAGGCAGTGTGACTCGGGCCCCAGGAATGCCACCTGCTCACTTAGTGGTCGGGCTGGGTGGCCCTGGGGAAGACCCTCCCCTTCAGTGGGGCACCTCCCTCCCTGGTGTGACATGGAACACTGTGTGTCTGCACCCCGCATCCTCTGGGAGCTTGGGGAAAATAATCATGATGCCCACATGCGATTGTTAGGTGCTTCCCGAGCCTGGCAGCCGTCTTGAGTAAGTTCGTGGTGTTTTGGCGAGCTGTGGAAAAGCAGGGTGGTGTCTGGTGACGTGAAGAGGTTCTTTTCCTAACCATATATGTCTCCCCGAGAGAAGCAATAAATAATGTGGTCACTTTGACTGGGCTGTCTTTCCGTAGCCGCCCTGGGAGCCCTCTGGCCCCGCTTGCTGCTTCTCCTGTTTCAATTTCCATGTCCTCTCCGTTTTGTAACTCAAGGAGCATCTTGGGCTTAGGAACAGCTGACAACCTGGCCGCTCCTGGCCGTGGCTCCTGGGGAAGGGGCAGTGGCCACTGACTTGCAGTTGTGCTCCGGGGCTCCTTGTCCCCAGCGGCCGTGAGTCACTGAAAAGTGAAGAAGGATGTGTGCTGGGGGGTGGGGACCTCCGGGGCCAAGCCTAGAAGACCTGGCAAGGCCACGCAAGTGAGTAATGACATGATGTGGATGAGCCTTTCTCGCAGGAGGATTCCGTGGACAGACCTCTCACCCAGCCTCATCTTCCGCCTCCGTCCCCCGCCAGAAGCGGGGCGGACTGCTCCTTCAGGGGGCGTTTGTGGCTCGACTCTGCCCACATTGTTGAATTGGGGAGCTCGAAGGACCTTTGCAAACTCATCCCACTTCAGCCCTGTATTTTACAGACAAAGAAGCTTAAAGCCCAGAGGAGAAATGACTTGTCCCACGTCTGGGTAGAGTGGTGCTTGACCCCAGAGCCGTTCGTCCACATAGTCTCTACACCAGAAAGCTCAGGGGCTGCCCGCTCCACCTTCCCCGTCCCTGTCTCTGCCCCTACCCTGTGTGTTTCACACGGCACCCAAGGAGGTGAGTGCACCCAGGGACAGGTGAGGAGGGGAGCTGGACGGTTCAAGGCAACTGAGACCATGGATTTCATCCCTGGAGTCCGGCCCCTGGCCCCTAGCTCTGCTGACGCCTCCCACTGCACCCCCTGACACCTTTCACAAGTGGTGGCTTTCCCTTCTGGGTCAAACTAAGTCCTCCACCCCCGTAGCTCTGGGGGAGGGACAGGTGGAGTCCCAGGTTGGGGTGCCCGTTCCCTGCCTCCAGCTGTTCTTTTATTACTGAGTGCCTGCAGTGAAGATGCCAAGAGAGCCCTTGGGAGCTTGGGAGGGAGTGAAGCGAGTCATCTGGGGAGTGGCAGCAGTGCCGGGGTTGGTGCTTGAACGGCAGAGGCAGCCAAGAAGTCCTCAGGCTCCGGCTTATCCTGTTGCTAAGCGCTGGAGTGGAAATTTCTGAGAACGCCCCTGAAGGTGACAATGTGCACGAGGCGGCTCCCGGCTGTGGGCTTGGAGGGGCACCTTCGCTCAGAGCTCTGGAATGCCACGCATTTGTTTATCTGCAAAGAGTCATGCCCGCCCACTCCATCTACCTCTACTTTCTCCATGGGCTCTGCGTGCCACTGGCATTTCATAAATGTTAAAAAATAGCAACATCGAAGCCTCTGACCTTCACACAAAGGCCTCTGAGACCACTGCCAGAGCGCTTCCTCCTTCGTGGGGCCAGCCAGCCAGCGCCTGGGAGGGGAAGGGAGAAACGCACCCTCAGCTCGGGCGGGGATGCCGGGGTCCAGGAGTGGCGTGGAGTTTACCCCGAGCCCAGCTGGGCTCGCAGGGCAAGGTCACAATGAAGGGGACGGGGCCAGGGGCTCCAACCGTGGATGCTGGGAGGGTGCCCTCTGCAGACCAGGGGCAGTGCCAGCAGATGGCATTGCCATGCCCGTCAGGATGGTGGGCGACAGGCGTGCTGGTCGCCCAGCGCTTCAGACCCCAGCACTGCACTGAGTCCTGGCCCTCTGCCGCCCTTTCTTCTTTGCCTGCCTGCCCCTCCCTCAAAGTCCCGTCCACCATGGTTCAGCCGAGACTTCCTCGTCTGGTGGTGAAGGACCGGAGGGACTGGGGTTTTCCAGCCACTCTGGGTCTTAGGTTAGGATCTCTTCCTTTAAAAAAAAAATCATGCAGCCTTTCCCTGCAAGGCCTGCTCAGCGGGGTCCAGGCAAAGCCTGATTTTCGAGCCAGCTCTTTGTCCTCCTCTTCTCTTCTTCCCTAAGTCTGGGAAGAGGTACAGAGGGGAGGGGACGTGTGTCTCTTGAAAGGCAAGGTCATGTTATTTATTTAACCTCCCCACCAAACGACTTGACAGCTGAGGTTCGGAGAGTCAGCGAGCGCCTGGGGTCAGCAGCCAGCCGTGGACGAGCCCTCCACGGGGCTCGATGTTGGCACCT